AGTAGGAGAAGGACTGACAGAGCAAGAGGTTGGAATTATGCATGGGAGACATAAACTAAGGGATGCGGGCAGCCAGTAGAATCAAAAAAGGTGGAAATGGCCTTTTCCCTCTGAGCCTCCAGAACCAACTCTACCTACATTGACTTTAGCCCAATGAAACTGACTTACACTTCTGATCTCCTGAACTGTCAGATGATAAACTATGCTATTTTAAGCTGGTAAGTTTGTGACAGCAGCAATGAGAAACTAATACAATAGTGAATCATTAGAGGAGAGATAAAATATATTTTGAGAAAGAAATGAAACTCTACCATGATGGGTATGGGAGCACTGAGGAAAGATGTTTTATGTGTGTCAGAACACAACGGAGGAAACCACAGCTCCCAAGTGGCTTCTTTGACCCATTACTGTGAGACAGCCTCTAGCCATGATGTTTATCTCTACTCTTTTTCCTGTAATAAACTAGAATTCTGAGAATCACCATTTTGGGTACTGTGGTTCTTCCCTGTTTAACTGTTGTGCACTTGCATTGACTGAGGTTTCTGGAGCTTATTTCTGATCTTTACAACATGAAGAAGCCCGACTAACTCAGCAGGGAACAGATTTGAACAGGAAAGAGGCCAGTTGGCAGGTGACTGAAGTAGTGTCCTCTCAAGATGATGAGCTTCCCAAGCAAAGCAGGGGCAATGGGAGTCAAGTGGACAGGAAAGGTTAGACTGTATTAGGAGGTGGAACTGATGGTGATGGATCAGTGGCCATTTAACTTGCTGTGGATGTGGACGGAGTGAGGGAAGAGGCAATGACAATGGAGGTTTCAACCTTGGGCAGTAAGTTCAGCTATGGTCATTCTTATTCGAGGAACTCTGTGAAATGCAGAGAAATCGTTTCTTATTTCAAGAGAACACTAAGTGTTACAGTGAGTTGAAGAGCTAATGTTACAGACTTTAGTTCAGTATATAATAGTCTATTTAGTACAGCCTATTATAGTTAAGTCAGGAATAGAAAAATCAGATAAGAAAATTAGATTCATAAAACAGATAAACCAGATTTTTTGGCAAAGGGTGAATACTCCTTCTGTATGCCCCCTCGCTCTTTATGATCATTATTCCATCAGTGAATCAGTAATTACTGAATGCTACTATGAGTCAAGAATGGTGCTACATGTTTAGAATAAAGACAAATATAATTGCCTGGTCTATGATCTTAAGGGGCTTGAGATGTAATACCACGAAATATTTGACAATAGAGAGACTGTTGTGAAGTGGAAGAACTGACTGCCATTGAAGAAAATCAGAAATGATGATCATGAAATCACAAAGTGACAGTCTGGATTTAAAACTACAAATTTAATTAGAAAAGTAGATTTGCCATTTTAAATTTTTCAGTGGAAGGAAGAAAATTTTTCCATCCAATCCCTGTGGAACTGTCCGTTTTAGCCTGTGGCCAGGAGGATTGCACTGTATTTGCAGTGTAGCTTAGGTTTGTCTATAGAAGACCATGAGACAAGGAAAATGTGGACATATAATGCCTTTGGGACCTGATATTGCTGGACTGCAAAAATGCTGGTGTTGGTCCAGGAAGGAGGAAGAAAGTAACAAATCTTTCAAGCAAAATTTCTCAGTGTTGGCACTATTGAGGAAAGTTTGGCTGCAAGTCCTACTTACCCAGTTACGTCTCTGCTCCTACTTCTCTCATTAATTAGACCAACTATGCCTCAGGTTGCCAAACCTTGAACTACATTCATAAGCAGAAATCTGGGAGACCTTAAGAGGATCTAGAAAGGCAGAGCAGGTGGCTGCCTCTTCTCTATCTTGACCACCTAAGTGTCATCTTCTCAGACTTCCAAATTCAATGTCAACATCATCTCCCAAGACCAGGTAGAATTCTTCAGTCTCACCGCTATGTGATGCACCTAACATTGCCTTGTATTACTTCATCCTGGTGTATGATAGCTATTTAATTCAATGTCTATCTCCTAGACGTGGTCAATTCCTGGAGAGAAAGCCCTGGGTCACATTCAGTTCTCTGTCCCTTGGGACTGAAACAGTACTAGAAGCATATTAGGAACTTAATATTTGTTAAATGAACAAATGATTGAAGAAGACAAAATAGAATAAGAAGGATAAATCTATCACAGAGGGAAATTTGTTAATATTTGTTTACCAAAGTTAAAATGTACAAATTCTTGGATCCAGCAATAACATCTCTAAGAATTTATCAAACACACATGTGCCACATATGTATGTATGGTATTATTCATTACAGCATTGTTTGTTAGCAGAAGCTTAAAAATGATGAAAATGTCCATTATGAATGGATGAATGAAATAGGTTATGGAATATCTATATGATGGAATGCCAAGCAGCTGTGAAAAAACAGTGTGGAAAGAATTTCAGGATATAATGTTAAAGGAAAAAACAATATTTTAAATTATGTAATATGAAAAAATCTGTGTAAAAATTTGAGGGAATACTTATATCTTACACTTGCTTATATATGTATAAATGTCTCTGAAAGGACTCAGAAGAAACTAATAAGTGTCCTTTTTTGGACATCACAATGTGGAGGGAGAGAAAGACTTTTCATCATATTCCTTTTTGTAGTTTTAGCTTTAGAAAAATGTAAATATGTGACTATAAAATGTAAATACATGGTTTAAAATACTGTATAAGTATTTTTTAAAAGAAAACTGTATATGGATGATTATAACAACTTTATTCATAATTGCCTAAACTTGGAAGCAACCAAGATGTCCCTCATTAGGTGAATGGATAAATAAACTGTGGTACATCCAGACAATGGCATATTATTTAGCACTAAAAATAAGTGAGCTATCAAGCTATGAAAAGAATAGCAAAAATTTAAAAGCAAATTACCAATGTGAAAAAGCTATAAATTATATGATTCCAACTATATAACATTTTGGAAAAGAAATAAAAAGGTCAGTGATTTCCAGGGGTTAGGAAAAAGGAAGGGATGACTAGGCAGAACACAGAGGAATTTTAGGACAGTGAAATTGTTCCTTATGATACTATAATGGTGGGTAGACACCACTACACAATCAAAACTCATAGACTATAGAGCACCAAGAGATGTCCTAATGTAAATACTGGGCTTTGAGTGATAATGATGTGCCAATGTAGGCTCTTTGATTATAACAAATGTTCACTGTGGTGGGGGGTGTTGATAACAGGGGAGGCTATACATGTGTAGGAGGAAGGGGCATATGGGATTTCCTTCCTCTCAATTCTTCTGTAAACCTAAAACTGCTCTAAAAGGAAAAAAAAATCCATTTAAAAGGAAAAAGAAAACTGGTGAGTTAGATTTACACTATCATTAAAGGACCCTAGATTTTGAAGTGACTTCTGGTCATTCTTTGATCTGATATTGCCGATCTAATACATGTGGACCATGGTATATTATTTTTGATGCTATGGGTGATATAAGTGCATATATACATACATATCCTGTTGAAAGCCATTGTATTTTCTGTCACCTATTAGTTGGGTCTCAGGTCTGCTGTAAATTTAGCTCACCCTGTAGTCTAGCCTGTTTCTTGGTTAAAGTGTCCCTGCTGTTTTCTGGTATCTTGGAGAGACAGTGGAGCTTCATACCCAAGAATATGCACTCCAGGGTCAGCCTGCCTAGGTTGGAATTCTGGGCTGTGTGATCTTAGTTTTTGTTTTCTTACTCTTTCATGGATACAGCAGCGGTTTGTATAAATTAGAGTTGTGATGATCAAATGAAATAATACATGTGAAGCAGTTAGCAGTGATTAACACATATGTGAACTACTGTCATTGCTGTTTTTATTGTTACTTTTATTGTCATCTTTGTAAGCACCATCAGTCATGTCTAATCTCTGCTGGTTCTTTGGACAAGGGTAGTTGCCTGTTTGCAGCTTAAAGAAGAGTCAGGAAGCCTCAGGAACTCAGAGTTGAGCCTTCTTGGTTCTTTCTGATGTTGACTAGAGTGTAAAGGTTCTGAGTTCCAGTTTAAAAAATCCTGCTGTCGTCACTGTGACCTGCCCAGCTGGTAAAGAGGTAGATCTCATCACCCACTGCACCAAAAAGAACATGAGCATAGTGAACAGTGGGTCAGCACCAAAAGGGGAACCAGGCTCCTGTGGGCTCTGTGCTGTGTTCTTTGTTGGTCTGTCTCTTGCTGGTGCCGTCAAAGAGGATTAAGAAATATGCCAGCTCTTGCAGCACTGGCAGGAATTCATTAATTCTGCCATCTGTTTACTCCCAGCCCTGTTATTATTATCACCCTAATGATATCTCTTTTGTTTTAACATGCACATTGCATTTATTTTCTCCAACTGGGATGGAAATGGGATCCCCCTATCTTTCAACCCTCAAAGTCCTGGGGTAAAAGATTAGAGAACTTTGAGATGCTGATTTGTCCTCTTTGTATTTTTTTTTTTTTTTTGTATTTTTAACATCCCTTTTTGGGATTTCTCTGGGGTGAGAAGTTATCTTAGTCTGTTCAGGCTGCTATAACAAACTACTAGAGACTAGGCAGCCTATAAACATTGGAAATTTAATTCTTACAGTTCTTGAAGCTGGGAAGTCTGAGATCAGGGTGCCAGCTTGGTGGGTGAGGCTCCTTTGCTGCTTCATAGTCTCTTCCTTCTTGCTGTGTCCTAACATGGTGGAAGGCACTGGAAAGCTCTGGGGTTGAGGGATCTCTTTTATAAGAGCACTAGTCCCATTCATGAGAGCTCCCGCTTCATAACCTAAGCACCTCCCACAGGCCCCATCTCCCAATGTCATCATCTTTGGGGGTTAGGATTTTAACATATGGATGTCAGGGAGACACAAACATTCAGATCATAGCAGGAGGTAACAATAATTAAATAATAATTATTAAATTAATGTATGAGAAGTGCTTAGAACAATGCCTAGCACATTAATAATGCTATATAAATATTTGCTCTTCTCATTATTGTGTACCAATTAACGTTCATTTTCTTGTTTTATTCACATCTGTGACCACAGCTCAGCTGGACAGTAGTTTTCAGCAGCTGTCTTGAAACTGGAGGATTTGGTTAATTGTTGCTGTGACAGATGACTAACGGTGACCCAGGAAATTCTAATGACCCGGTTTTTCTCAGCAATGCTCCAGACTTGCAAAGCTTCTTTAAAGCCTCCCCAGCCACTATGGAAGGTGCGTTTCAGAATCTACCTTAGGACCCTCACCTAGCATGGCTCTTCTGCGCTGTTCCTTCCTCCCCAGAAGCAGGCATTGACACTGGAGTCTACCGCCATCCTCAGGTGTGAAAGAAGTTTCAAACATCCTCTTCACATTTTATATATGGTGAAATAATAAAAGGATCAGAATTCTTACATTTCAGAATGTATTTTTCCTCTGATAGTTTTACAAAATACCCCATGTAGAATTTGTGGAACAGATTCCTTTCTTATTTCCCTATCTCTGGGTTTCAAAGGACTTTTCTCTCCTAAAGATC